GCACGTCCCCCGCCGGCGGCCACCATGAGCACAGGCCTGCGGTACAAGAGCAAGCTGGCGACCCCAGGTGAGCCCGGCGCCCGCCCGCGCGCTCGCGCGCTCGCCTTTGTCCCCGCCGCGCGCCCGCTTCTCACCGTGTCTCTCCGTCTCTCCCCCGCCCGCCGGCCCGGACCTGCCCGGACCCGGACCTGGACCCGACCCCCGATCCTGCAGAGGACAAACAGGTAACGTGTGCGCCGCCTCTCAGTGCGTCCAGACACCCGGCCGGCTGTCACCCATTGTGGTTCCCAATGCCGCCGTCGCAGGGCGCGACCCCGCCCCCGCCAGCCGTCATCCCGCCCTGTCGTGATAGCCAGATTGCCCGCCTGGGTGCGCCTGAGGCTTCGGAGGGGAGAGTGGGCGCGATGACCCGATGACCCGGGTGGGAGTCTTGGACCCCTGACCTCCCAGCAGGGGCGGGCCGTCCTTCCTAGGATAAGGGAGTGGGGGCGGGGGCAAGAAGGGAGGGGTGTGCCTGTTACCCGCCAGTCCTGGCCGCTGGTCCAGCTCCAGCGTCCCCTTGCTGACCTGGCTTGTAGGCCGCCACTGGGGGTCCTGAAACTGGCCATGGTCACTCCAGACCATAGGCTGGGGGAGGGGCTTGAGATCTTTCAGCTGGCTGGCCGTGTCCAGCAGCCCCACAGAAGGGCTATGGCCAGCCCCCCTCCACTCCCCTGCACCTTTGTCCCCCACCTCTTAACGTGCTGATCTGTGGGGACTCCTCTTCCCCAGCCTGGATGCCTTCAAGGCCCTGTCTGAGTCATCCTGTGCCCAGCACAGGGCCTCAATCCAGAGGGTACGCCTAGGTTTGTGGCCTCCCAAAAGGGGCTAGCCTGGTCCCAGCCCTCTGGAGGACAGGGCTGGGGGTGTGGAGAGAAGGCTGGCCAGGACCCCCACTGTGAACACCCAGCTCAGGCCAAAGATGTGAGATCCTGAGGTTGGAGGAGGGAGGGGGGCCGACCCAGCTGGCCTCCTCACTGGCATGAGCGCAATCAGGTTTAGGGAATTAAAAAAAAAAAAAAAAAGCCATCGAGGTAGCCCCTGTTGGAAGTGGGGTCTTCACGCATGAGTGGGTGCCTGACAGCACCTTGGGAGTGCTGGCTCAAAGCTCAGCAGGCAGGCAGAAAGGCGTAATCTAGCAGGTGGGGTGAGAACCCAGTGTCCCTGGCTGCCCAGTGCTACTCCCAGGGCGGGGACATGCCCCCTCCAGGAGGATCATCGGGAGGGGCCCCTGAGCCCCGCCTTGCCCTTCCCACCAGGGCTTCCCCTGGGAGCTAGCCAGCAGATGCCTCCCCATGGCGGCAGGTCAGACAATGCCTGAGCCTACTACTAATTGTCTGAGATAGAAAAGGCTGAGGCTGGGGGCCTGTCCCCATGGCCTCTCCTGGGCTGTGAGTGCTTTAAGCTGAGCCTGTGGGGGCTCCAAGCTGCCGGGCTGCTCAGATTCTTTTGTTTATTGTTTTTGAGAATGGGGATCCCTGGAAGAGAACACCTCACAGGCAGGGAGGAGCCTCAGATGGAGACAAGGGACCCCAGAAACCTTCATTCCAGGACTTCTTAGTGGCCACTGTTGTCCTGGGTTTCAGGCCGTCCAGGCCTCCTATGGAGGACCTGTGGACCCTTACCCCATCCTGGAAGGACAGAGGCAGTAGGAAGAACCCCTGTCTCAGGCAGTAGGGACCCCCATGGCTTCTCAGTGGTCCCCCTCCTGCCTCAAGCAGTGGTGCAAAGTGAGGATTCTGTGGGTGTCCTGAGCCCTCCCTTGCCCCAGCGCCTTGTGCAGTGTGGGGGTCCCGTACATCGTCTCTGTCCCTCCTCACAGTGGAGGTTCTGTTGATTGCAGCATCGTTCCGAGCTGGCTCGGGTGATTCTAAGAATGGAATTGCCTCGAGAGCCAGGAGGAGTGGGTGCGCCTGTGTCATACGGCTCAGGAAGCCCTGCGGAGTGTTTGTTGTGCCTCCAGGACCAGAAGGGGCGGGGTGGTGGTGGCAAGGCCCCTTCTCCCAGCTCCTCTTAGGAACCCACCCACAGGCTCTGTCAGGTGATGGGATGGCCAGACAGGGAGCTGTGTGGGAGGTTCCTGCCTTCCTGACCTGCACCAAGGTCCCGAAATGCATGGTCCCTGTGAGGCTGTGCCTTACCAATGGGGAAACTGAGGCGGTGAGACAGCTGAGTGAAGGGGGCTCACCACAAGCTTTCTGGTAGCTGCTCAGTTCTGACATCCCAGCAAATCTGGATGGTGCTGGACTGAGGGGCTGTCTCTCAAACCGACCCCCAGTAGGAACTGTTTGGGAGGGAGTCCTCCCAGAAGCGTCCCACAGGTTCGAGTGACCGTGCCAGGGCCAGAAGAGAGGCTCCTTCAGAGCAAGAACTGCCCACCACACCCTCCCCATGAAAGGCTTTCCTGTCCCCAGCTATGGGCCTGCCCCTCCTCCCCAGGTGCCAGCAGCCTGGGGGCCCTACAGCGTGACCACAAGGCCTGGAAGGGGGACAGAGGCCTCTCTGCGGAGACGGCCTGGCGTGGAGAGCAAGCATCCTGGCCGCTGCCTCACACGTGGTCACCCTCAGCTCTTTCCAGGTCCCTTTGCAGCCTCACTGGTGCTGGTTTGTTGGGATTGGGGGAGGTGCCGGGGAAGGGTTTGGCCGCCAGCAGAGGGCGGTTGACTTGGATGTAGCCAAGATCCCTCAGTCTCCAGGGTGGCCACAGGGTGTGAGGGCTGTGCTGGCCCGGGCTCCCCAGCTTTCACGAACCCCAGCCTCAGTATCCCCTCCACCAATGACGCTCTTCGGGCGGAAAGAACCCGCTCCATCTATCGCGTTCCCCTCCAACCATTCCCTCTCTGTTGATTTCCAGTTCCCAGTGATCCTGGGGAGACAGTGGTCTCCAGAGGGCCGCGGCCATCGATTTCCAGAGACTTGGGGGCGGGGGGAGAAAAGCATCTCGCGCTCTGGCCGCTGTGAGCCTGGACGACACTTAGGGGACTTGGAGGCCTCTGCCCTCGCCCCTCTTCTCGCACTCCTCGGGGTGGGGGTGGGGATCCCCTCCAGGAGAGAACCCTCCAGATACACACATTCGCGCGCGCGCGCACCGGGCAGGGGGCAGTGCGCCGAGGGTGTGCCCGTGGGGAGGTGGGGACGCAGGGACACCTCCTCGAGCTCTCGCAAGCCAGCCCCGCGAGGAGGGAAGCGGGTGGTTGGGGTCGGTCCCTGGCGCCCTCTGGCGGGCGGAAGCCGCTCCGCGTCTCCGGGGAGGCGGGACACGAGGCCGCCGAGGGCCCCCTACCCGGGTGCGCCCGGGCGACTCGGCCTCGCCGCTCCTCCCCGCGTCCTCGGCGCCGAACCGAGGCCTCGGGACCGTCGCACGGTTCCGGGCAGCCCCGCCGCCTTTCGCCGCCCCGGCTGGGCTCGGCCCTGCGATTGCACCGCTCTCGGGTGGCTCCGCCCGCGGCCCCATTTCTAGGCGACTGTTTCCTGGCGACGACGCGGGGCGGGCCGCCTCTGGTCCCCACCCGCGCGCTCCCCGGGCCCTGCGAAGCCCCGCCTCGTCTCGGAGTGCGGGAGCTGGACTGGCTGGACCGGGCAATCTGCGCCCAGCTCCGGGGGAGGGGAGGGTGCCGCGGGGACAAGGGATGGCCCAGATGGCTTCTGAGGTCGCCAGCACCCCGGGTGGATGACGTCCTCTCTCCAGGCCTCAGGTCCTGCGGCCTTAAAACGAGGGGCGAGAACAGGGTCAGGGTAACACCACGCGTAATTCCCTGCGTCGGCCTGCCCCAAGCCTCGGGTCTGGTCTTAACTGGCTAGGGGACACTGGGTGGCAGCGATGGACTCGCTGGCGGCGCCCCAGGACCGCCTGGTGGAGCAGCTGCTGTCACCACGGACCCAGGCCCAGAGGAGGCTCAAGGTGTGTGGGGGTTGGGGGATGTGGGTCAGTATCCACGTGCGACCCCGGCACACCGCGTACTCTGGGCGTCAGTGGGGCCTGGGGGTCTGGGGTCCGCTGGGATGGTGGGGGGACGCCGAAACCGGCCTGCCAGCGGAGGAGGCTTCTCGCGCACAGCTGTCTATAAATAGCCCCTGCGCCGCCGTCTCCGCTGCCCCCGCGGCTGGATCGAGGCCAGCTAGGGCCTCCCACCCCCTAGTTCAGTTGGGAGGAATATCAGCTTCTCCATGGAGGCCTTTGGGTATGTCCGAGGGGGTCCAACGTGTTTGTCCTATGACCAACTGTTAGAAGGCCATGACTTTTGCTTGCTCTGCCTCGCACCCCCTACTCCTCCCCCCACAATCTCTGGGATCCTTTGAACTGCCCCCCCCCATTGAGGCGGAGGCAGGCTAGGAGTGCCTTCTGCCAGTTCACCCCTTCTCTCTGAGAGCAACCTTAGCGAACGAGCCTCACCCTATTTCTGCCACTGGAGCACCCCACCCCAGGGCCAGCAGGTGGGGAGAGGGTGCGTGGCAGCCCCCGAAGTCCCAGTGTGCCCCTAACAGTGCCCGCTCTGCTCTCCCCACCAGGATATAGACAAGCAGTACGTGGGCTTTGCCACACTGCCCAACCAGGTCCACCGCAAGTCGGTGAAGAAGGGCTTCGATTTCACTCTCATGGTGGCGGGTGAGTAGGTGGCCTGGGGCCGCTCCTCGGAAATGGCTGGGGTTTGCTGGCCAGTCAGGACCTAACTCAAGCTCTTCTCTGTACCTATCGCCAGGTGAGTCAGGCCTGGGGAAGTCCACTCTGGTCCACAGCCTCTTCCTGACTGACTTGTACAAGGACCGGAAGCTGCTCAGTGCTGAGGGTGAGTGGTTCCCCAGAGATGTCCCTGCCCTCTTGCTCCCCCTTGAACCCTTCCCAGGACACCTTTCCAGGTCCAGTCTGTCGCTGCTCAGGGTCAGGCTGAGAGGCCACGGCCAAGACAGAGGGTCCCCGCTGCCAGAGTGCAAGGTGTCCAGGATCTCAAACAGTGCCCTGCCCCTCCCCACCAGAACGCATCAGCCAGACAGTGGAGATCCTCAAGCACACGGTGGACATTGAAGAGAAGGGGGTCAAGCTGAAACTCACCATCGTGGACACGCCAGGCTTCGGGGACGCTGTCAACAACTCTGAGTGGTAAGCAAAGACCGTCTGGAAGATAGGCTCCCCAGCACACCCCCGCTTTCCCCCGGCTGGGACACTGGGCAGAGGTCCCAGCTGGGCCTCACTCTCCCTCCTGCTCCAGCTGGAAGCCCATCACGGACTACGTGGACCAGCAGTTTGAGCAGTACTTCCGGGATGAGAGCGGCCTGAACCGCAAAAACATCCAGGACAATCGGGTGCACTGCTGCCTCTACTTCATCTCCCCCTTTGGGCATGGGTGAGTGGTGGCACCCACCCACCCACACACACACACACACCCCTTCAGGGTCCCTCCCACTGGACTATCACTCCCCTTCACTGCATCCTCACCACATCCCGACCTCTGCTCTCCCTCTGCAGCCTGCGGCCGGTGGATGTGGGCTTCATGAAAGCTTTGCACGAGAAGGTGAACATCGTGCCCCTGATCGCCAAAGCCGACTGCCTCGTCCCCAGCGAGATCCGGAAACTAAAAGAACGGGTGAGTCAGCCAGGGCCCAGGGGCCAGGTAGGGTCAGCGAGACGGCCAGGCGTGCTGACGCCAGGGGTGACCACACCTGGCCTAGGGGACCTTGACCACCAGCCCCAAACCTGACCACCCTTGTCCCGTGGCAGATCCGGGAAGAGATTGACAAGTTTGGGATCCGTGTGTACCAGTTCCCTGAGTGTGATTCTGACGAGGATGAGGACTTCAAGCAGCAGGATCGGGAGTTGAAGGTGAGTGTGCAGCCTGGTGGGCTGGAGGAGGAGGTGAGGGACAGCGAGCCTGCAGCCAGAGGGCTTTGTCCTGTCCACTTGGGGCCCAGAGGGGGACAAGCACTGAGCTCCAGCCTGGCCTGGTAGGATGAGGCTTGCCCATGTCCCTGTCTAACCTGTTGGCATTTGGGGTCTTCCATCCCCACATAAAGGAACTCTGGTAGCTTCGTGGTAAGGAATCGGGCTGTGTACCCTAAGGTATGAAATTTTGATCCACCAGCCGCTCCATGGGAGAAGGAGGGGCAGTCTCCTCCTGTGCGATTTACTGCCTCTGAAAACCTGCTGGAGGGTCAGCTCTGGGTTGATTCAGACTCGATGGCACACAACAATAACAACAACATCCTCATCTTGGTACTCTGTGGGTGGTGGAGCACTTGCTTGGACTTCAGTGGGCAGACCTCCTCCGCCCACTCTCGACTTAATGGGCACAGCCTTCTCCTAGGCCAGGGGGTCCTCGTGATACAGTGGTTAAAAGCACTTGGCTGGTCCCCAAAAGGTCACCTGTTTAAACCCATCACACTTCTCCTCCAGAGAAAGATGTGGCCTTGTGTCCCTGTGAAGATTCCAGCTCACACTGGCCCTTCTCCCAGCGGGATCACAATGAGTTGGAATCAATTTGATGGCACTGGATTTCATTTAGGGAGGGGTGTGGCCATGAGTAGGAAGAGCGCACTACAGTGTTTACAGAATTGTAAGGCCCAAGGAATGGTAGCTTTGGGAGCCCTGTGTATTTGTTGTTGTTGTTATGAGCCATCGAGTTGCTTGGGACCCTATGTACAAAAGCCCTAAACCCTGGTCTGTTGTGTGCCAGTCGCACTGTCTCTAACACACCCATCCCAATTACCCCAGTCACTGAGTCAATCCACCTCATAGAGGGCCTTCCCCTCCTGCGCTGTCCTTCTCCAAGGACCAGTGTGTATTTAGGGTAGTTATAACCAAGCTCAATAACATCAACATAGAGAGATCAGCTGGCCCAGTGGACAGAAAGCGATGCTACCAAGCCAAAGGTGGGTGACTTTTAATCTGCGGTCCTCGGGCCTGTCTTTCATTGTTTTTGTTCAGACATTCCTCTAGGTCGTATAGCCCTGGTGTACAAGTTGCCGTACAGCGGTAACTTGTGGTTGCTGTGAGGCTGAACACTGTGACACTGATGTGTCAAATGCGTTAATGGCTGGTTACCCAATGCGGGCAGAGAGTGGGGTGGCGCTCCCCGATGAAAACAAGCTTGGAAGGAGGAGTGGCATCCACTTCCATAACAGCTTGCCTCTGGAAACCCTATGAACCTGGAGACAGAATGAAAGACACCCTAGCGTTGAGGACTCTCCTTCATAGGGTCGCTATGAGTCGCCTGTGACTCGATGGCACTTAACAACAACAACAACAACATAACCAAGCTCAGGGAGCCCTGGTGGCTTAGTGGTAAGGAGCTGTACTGCCATCCCAAAGGCACACGGTTCGAATCCACCAGCTGCTCTGCAGGAGAAAGGTGGATCGTGTCCTCCCGTGTGATTTACTGCCTCTTAAAACCAGCTGGAGGGTCAGCTGTGAGTTGTTTCTTACTCCATGGTACACGACAACAGTAACCATGCTGGGCCAGAGGGCCACTAGGTGCCCACCAGCAAGGTCTTGGGCAGGCAAGGCTCTCAGTCTCGGGCACAAAAAAGGGCCTGGTGCCAACACACCGGCTTCTAGGGGCGGAGAGGCGTGGCTCTTGATGGGTGGGAAGCGGAAGGGAGGGCGTACCTGATGGCACACAGCCTGGCAGATGCCTGAGAAGTGGCTGGTGCACCGGTGTATGGTCAGAGGGCAGCGGAAGAGCCATCAGGGAAACGATGCTTGATCGCTTTGGGGAGATGATGTTTGGGGAGGGCCAGCGAGGGTGCTGAGTGCCCATGACCCATAACCGCTGATACTGAGTATCCCTTCTCCCTCAACCAGGAAAGTGCCCCTTTTGCAGTTATTGGCAGCAACACGGTGGTGGAGGCCAAGGGGCAGCGGGTCCGGGGACGACTGTATCCCTGGGGCATTGTGGAAGGTAAGTTCAGGCCCCAGTGGTTACGGATTGGGGGCCGTGTGCCAGGTTCCGGGTGGGATGCCTCCTCCTCCAGGCAGCCCCCACCACTGCTCACTCCTGCCCCGCAGTGGAGAACCAGGCGCACTGCGACTTCGTGAAGCTGCGTAACATGCTTATCCGCACGCACATGCACGACCTCAAAGACGTGACTTGCGACGTGCATTATGAGAACTACCGCGCGCACTGCATCCAGCAGATGACCAGGTGAGCTGGCCCCGCCCACGCCCCTCCCCTCCGAACCCCTTGAATCCAAAACCCAGGGTTGTCCCAGTCAACAAGGTAGCGTCCCCAGTGCCTTGTCTCCTAGGGGGTAGTTCTGGGGACCTTGGCAGTGGTGGGGGTCACGTAGGTCTACTCCAGCCCACCTGTGGACCCCTCTCAGCAACCATATCCTTTCCTGGCTTCCCAGCAAACTGACCCAGGACAGCCGCATGGAGAGCCCCATCCCCATCCTGCCTCTGCCCACTCCGGACGCTGAGACTGAGAAGCTTATCCGGATGAAGGATGAAGAGGTAGATGGGACAATGGAGGAGGGGCGGAGCTGGGCGCCAAGGGGGTGTGGCGGGGTCCAAGGCCCGCCCCCCCATGTTTCTCACCCTTGCCCTTCCTGTCCCTCCCCAAGCTGAGGCGCATGCAGGAGATGTTGCAGAAGATGAAACAGCAAATGCAAGACCAGTGACCCCGACCCCACCCCACTTCGCCAGGGCTAGCCCATCCCTGGGCCAGCCCCTCGCACTCCTACAATTGACCTTGGATTTGCTGGATCAGACTGGCCCGGACCCAACCCCAATCTTCGAGGGGCTCCATCACATCATGGACTGCTCCTCAGCCCAGGCCTTCCACCACAGCCGCCCCAGCACAACCCTAATTTATTCTCAGCACCCATCTTTCCCCCACCCCTACCCCGCACCCCGCCATCATCTGCTTCCCCAGCCGAGCCCCTCCAGCCTCGGGGGGAGCAGGAGCTATGCTGGGTGAGACTTCCGAGATCAGCGCCCACCCAAGCGGGTAAATCAAGACAGAAGAGAACAGACCTCCAAGGCCGGCGGCCTCGGCCTCACACTGGGCCCCCAGTGCCGCAGAGCGGGCGGGCTTGGCTGACAGTGTGCCCACTCCTGCTGTGCTCCCGAAGTGGGCCGGCTTCCCTTCTTCACCCATGAATCGAGCTCAGTGGGAGCAGAGGGAATCCCTCCAGACGACTGTAGACGAGGAGCGGAGCGCACTGGGCCGGCTCCCGGGACCGCCCTCGCCCCTCCCCAACGCGCGCCGGCCCAGAGGGCGCCAGAGTCCGCGGGCGGTGGGAAGCCCCCTACCCCACGCCGCCACCTCCCTGTATCTAGACAACCGGCCACTCGAGGTCCTTCCTCCCCGGCGGCACTGAGGGCGGAAAAGGTCCCCGCTATCGCTCCGGGATCCCGAAACTTAGGCCTCTTGAGCCTTCCTCCCGCATGATCCCCGCCCCTCTCCCTCCACACACGCCCGGTGCTCCGTTTTGTTCCGCTATGAATGCCACGACCTGTCCTGGCGACAGGTGAACAATGTTGGGGAACGTCGCCACGGGTGTCGGTGTGCGTGTCCGAGTGCTGCGTGCGTCCCGGGAGCAGGAGGGGGCGGAAGCCCGGGTGGCCAGCGCGCCGGGAGATAGCGCTTTATCTGTGGCCGCCGCACAGCCTCAGAGTTATTTCTGGGGAAGCAGCCGTCTTGTGGTCTGAGCAGTGAGCTCTCTGGGGCCTGCTGGGTGGGGTGACCTTAGCTGGGCGATCCAGCTAACGCTTCTGGACTCCCAGAGCTAGCTGGGCGGCTGTTATTGCGCCATGGGCTCCGGTGAGTCTGGGTGGGGCGCCCTCCTGTCGTTTGGCTGCAGCAGAGGCGGTTTCCAGCCGGGGCACAAGGTTTAGAGGTTTTCGGGTGAAGGGGACCAAGAACCTCAGGATTTGGAGGCGAACTCAGGGTGCTCTGGGGACGTGCGGCGCGGGAGAGTAGCCTGGCTCACCGCGGCGATTCTTTTCCAGGGCGGCGGGGGCCGCTGAGCCTGCTGCTCCTAATTCTGGCCCCACTGAGCCGTGTGGCCGCGGGCTGCCCCGCGCCGTGCCGCTGCGCCGGGACCCTCGTGGACTGCGCGCGTCGGGGGCTGACAAGGGCCTCGCTGCCAACCGCCTTCCCGCCGAGCACGACCGAACTGGTGCTGACCGGCAACAACCTCACGGCGCTGCCTGCGGGGCTACTGGATGGCCTGCCCGCCCTGCGCACCGCGCACCTGGGAGCCAACCCCTGGCGCTGCGATTGCCACCTGCTGCCGCTGCGCGCCTGGCTGGCGGACCGCCCCGAGCGCACGCCCTACCGCGAACTGCGCTGCGCCTCGCCCCCCGCGCTGCAGGGCCGCCTGCTGCCCTACCTGGCGGAGCAGGAGCTGCGCGCCGCCTGCGGGCCGAGCGCGCTCTGCCCGGGGGCGCTGGCGCTGCAGCTGGTGCTTCTGGGCCTGGGGCTGCTGCACGCGCTGCTGCTCTGGCTGCTGCTGCGCCGCCTGCGGAGCCTGCGCGCCCGCGCCGCGCCCGACATGTCTCTGCGCTCCCTGCTGGCGGCAGAGGGGGCCGGAGCCAGCGTGTCTTCAGCCGAGTAGCTGCTGACCAGAGCCGGGTCGGCAAACAGGACCCTACCTTCAAAACCTCCCCCTAACCCGGAGAAGGGTCTTGCCCTTGGGTCCGTGGTCTCTGCCCCAAACACCGAAACCTCCCCACTTCTCCGATGCCCGAGCTTCCTCAACCCTAGCTAGGCGGACTGACAACCACTTGGGCCCGGGAAGTTGAGGGGGTGAATTGGAACTCAGACCCCGATTTAAGAATGGAATAAACCCTTCTCGTTGATGTGTGCGCCATCTGCCCTGAGAGTCCTTTCCACAGAGAAAAAAAAAACACCAAACCAACCGGCTGTTCGGAGCGTGCGCGCACTCAGCACTCACCTCCCGGAGTTTGGAAGCATCTGTGAGCATGGTCAGCACCATCTGACCACCTTCAGAAAGGAGAGAAGGCGCTCAGGGCAGTGTGGACACTATGGGGACAGGCAGGACATGGAAACAATGAGGATACCGCGGGGACAGGAGAATGGACAGGAGGCCAGATGAGCATAGCGAGGATCCTGCACTGGGGATACTGTGCAGTATGGGGACCTTATGGGCTGTGAGGACACTGTGGGGATATTATGCAATATGGGGACCCTGTGGGTCATGTGGGCAATGAGAACACCGTGTGGCAGTGAGGACACTGTGGGGTATAAGGATGATGGGCAATGGGGACACTTTGAGGTATGAGAACACTGTGGGCAATGAAGATGCCCTGTGGTATGAAGACACTGTGGACAATGGGAACACCGTCTGGCAGTGGGGACACAGGTATAAGGACACTGCAGTGGGGACACTGGGGTATGAGGACACTGTGGGCAATGGAGACATGTGGTATGGAGACACTGTAAACAATGGGGACACCACTGGGTATAAGGACACTATGGGCAATGAGACACTTGGATGGTGAGGACACTGTGGAGCAATGTGGACACTTGGGGCCATGAGACCCTATAAACAATGAGGACTCCATGGGCAGTGGGTACCTTTTGGGCAATGGGGACCCTGTGGGTGGTAGGACACTGTGGGGAAGTGACAGTGGAGCAGTGGGGACAGTGGACTGAGGACACTGAACAGTGAGGTACTGTGAGACAGCGGGGCACTGTGCGGTGGGGACCAAAGTAGTAAGGACTTTTGAGGGGGCAGAAGTGGTAGACAGTGGGGACATTAGGAGGGCATGTGGGCTTTGAGGAAGGGTGGCAATGTATCTACTCCAGGGACCCTGTAGCAGTGTAGGTGCTGAGACTGGCACACAGAAAGGGAGCGCCCCAAGGTGTGGATGCTACAGTCTGAGAATGTCTGTATCGATGGCCCAGGCTGGGGGCCTGTGAACCTGACTATGGGGCTGCGAGAGGTGCAGAAAAGGCCCCAGGGAAGGTGTGGAAGCAGGGTGTCTCTGAGCAGAACTTCCTTCTCCAGTGAACCCTGTGACCCCAAGCAGACCCCTTGGGCTATCTGATGACCTGGAATAGATCAGATTAGAGCAAGAATCATCCAACAACCTACATTATGCAGATGACCCAGCCTTACAGAAAGGGAAGATTTGAAGTTCTTTCTGAAGACTCAAATATGACAGCCTTTAATATGGATTACACCTCAACATCTAGAAAATAAAAAACCCCAAAACCAAAAAAAGAAAATCCCCCAAATCTAACCAGTATGCAACATCATGACAGATAGAGAAAAGATTGGATTCATAATCAATACCCATGGTGGTGGTGGTGGTGGTGGTGGTTATGTACCCTTGAGTCAGAACCAACCCATAGCTGACCCTCCAGCGGGTTTTCAGAGGCAGTTACACAGTAGACTGCCCATCCTTCTCCCGCAGAGCAGCTGGTGAAATCACAAAGGAGATGATTGCTCACCCTTTCCCCACAGAGCAACTAGTGGATTCGAACCACATACCTTTGGGATTATAGCACAGCTTCTTGCCACTAGACTACCACTGCTCCTTCACACCCGTGGTAGAACCAAGAAATCAGAAGGCGTGGTGCCTTGGACAAGGGTATATTCACAAGGATCTCTTTACAGAGCAAAGATACCAGTGTAAGGACTAAGGTACGCCTGGCCCAAATGATTCTATTTCCAGTTGCTTCTTGGGCATGTGAAAGTTGGACAACCAATAAAGATGGCCAGAGAAGTTAAACCTTTGCACTGTAGTGTTGTTGAAGTGCATTGAACATTCAAAAAGAACAAACAAGACTGTCTTGAAGGCAGTGCAACCAGACTGTTCTGTGGAGACAAGGATAATGAAACTTCATCCCACATACTTTGTGTGTATTGTCAGGAGGCGCCTGTTTTGGGAAGAGGACATCATGCTTAGAAAAGAAGAGGCTCGGGGAGCTCTGGTGGCCAGAGGTGCATGGTTCGAATCCACCAGATGCTCTGCCGGGGAAGGAGGGACAATCTCCTCCTGTACCAGTCGGATCTGATTTGACGGTACACACACACAAAATAAAAAAAAAATTTTTTTAAAGTAGAGGCTCAGCAGAAGAGAGGACAAACTTCACCCAGATGGAGTGACTGTAACAGTGGGCCTGAGGCAGCAGTGACTTTTACAGTGGGTCGGATGGAGCATGGTGGAGACTGGGAGGATGGCAAAGGATCAAGCAAGGTTTCACTCTAGTTTGTAGGATTGCTGTATGCATTGTAGTCAGTGCAAAGGCACCTAATTGTTGTTGCTGTCGTTATGTGGCGTCAAGTTGCCTGCAACTCATTCCGAACATATGTACAATAGCTCTGAAACTAGGCTCACTGACTCCAACACACCTAACCCTATTTTCCCAGTTACTGTATCAATCCATCTCATCCGGGGTCTTCCTCTCCTGCTCTGTCCCTGTACCCTTCAGACATGATGTCCTTTTCCAAGGATCAATTCCTCCTGGCCATGTGCCCAAAGTGTGTAGGACAGAGCTTCAAAATCCTAGCTTCCAAGGAGAAATTTAGTTTCACCATCTCCAACACAGACCTAATTTGTTTTCTTGGTGGTCTATGGTATGTTCAAGACTCTTCTCCAGCACCACAGCTCAAAAGCATCCATTCTTCCTCAGTCATTGCCCAGCTCTCTGCTGCATAGCAAGTAACTGTGAAGACCATAGACTGGATCAGGCTCACCTTAGTTTCTAGAATGACATCATTGCTTCTCAGTACTCTGGAAAGGTCCCTGATGGAAGATTTACCTAATCAATTCACCTTTTGATTTCCTGACTGCTGATGCCAATAATAACAATAAAGGCAGGGAAGGGACCAGGGTTTGGTGGCACTACTGAGAATTCTTGGGTAAACCAAATACAGGATGCCAAAGGTCCCTCTCCAGATGCAAAGCTCCCCACCACAGGCTCTTGCGTACACCTAAGTGGTCAAACCCCCGTCCCCCACCCCATGGGTTCTCGGGCCACATGCATCACGTCCATCACTGTCACTTCCAACATGGCCTGGCTGTCACAGCTTTTCTGCCTGGGGGAACAGGAGAGTGGGGGCTGTGGGGCAGCAAAGGATTCCAGGGAACAGAGGTCAAAAATAGGTGCCCCAAATGTGCCAGGGCCCAGGATTGGGGAACAATCTTGAGCTCGAGGACAGGAAGCGAACAAGGTAGGGGACACATGAGACAAGGAGGAGGCTTCAGGGTATCCATGGATAGTGGAGTGACCATGGGCATGTTGCAGAGGCTCCAGCAATGAAGAGGACAGCCACCAGTGGGCACAGAACGGAGGGGTTCAGGGGTGCAGGCCCCTAAGGGTGGGAGAGGCAGGGTCTGTTGGGGACCAGCTCCCCACCCTGCTGAGATGCTCCGCCTGAAGAGTGAGGTTCAAGGGGTCCTCAGGGGACTGGGACGGGAACAGGAGGGTCATCTGAGATGTTGAGAGTGGGGTTACTCAGGAATAAGGGCCAGGTAGGGCTGGGGTAACTGTGAAGATGGTCTTGTGGGGGTCTCTTTGGTGCTGGGGGCTTCCTGCACAGTGTGGGTGAGCAGCCTCTGGAGGACAGGATGTTGCCAGGGTAACGGGGACAGGAGATGAGGGCCCTGTGGATATGAGGGGGACCGTGGAGATCTCTGGGGTCCACGACCAAGCACCTCCAGATATCCTTTCTCCCCGACCCAACCACCTGATCCCCAGCCTTAAGGCCCAGGTTCCACCTCCCAGAGCCACTTGTCCCCTCTTGCTTGCTGGGATCAGCCCAGGACTCTGTCTCTACCCCTACACCCAACTCTGCCCTTCCCCAGGCTCCCAGGACACCATGCTGGCCTGCTAACCTAGGTCTCTGTGCAGGCTGTGCCCAGGACACACTCCCTTGTCACCTCAGATCCTGTTCATTGTCCCTGACCATCCACCTGGCCACCTCCCCCCTCAATACACTCCCTGACACTGTCTTATAGCCAGGAGCTTCTCTGGACACCTCCCCAGAGGTCCCCACCCCAAGTGCCTTGTGCAGCTCAAGGCTGTGAATACATGAGGGGGACATGCCCTCACAGCTGGAGCGATCTATGATAGTCTTTCTCTAGCCCTGTGTGTGACTCCCATCTCGCTGGCCCTGTGGATAACAAAGGCGGTGCTCTGTGGACCCCAAGCAGGACAATGACAAGGCCCCTGACCCTCACTGCCCACCACTGACCGGGTTGGGGAGGCTGCCGCTGACATGGCCTTTGTCTTGGCCATTGTGGGACAAGATGGATGGCCCTGGGCTTGGCTGATGCTATCACAGGGCTGCCGGGCGGACGAGAGTCAGTACCTCCCCCTCCTTTGTGGGCAGGTGTGGGGCATCCGGCCTATTGTGGAGCGCGGCCAACACTCCAGTTGTCTATCCGGCCTTATCACCACGTAGAGGGACAGTGGTCCCCTTTGTACAAATGAACTGTCCTCTTGTGTGCTCCCTGGGGGCTCCCCAAGAGTCCCTGAGGAAGATCAGTTACTGTGTCACAGAGAGGTATCTGGCAACCACTTGAAATCAGCCTGAAAATGGTGCCAAGACAGTGTCTCCCTGCCTGGCCGGGAGGAAGCTGG